CATTAATTAGGAGGGTGGTCAAATGCCAACCGGTGTCAATCTCTCACATTGACCCAAACCAACATTTTTCCACCCTACCGTACCTGCACAGAGCGCAAATAATTGTTTGAGCCCTTTCTGCAAATTAAAAAAATACAATTTCTTAATTCCAACACTCGAATTTGCAACATAGAACTTCTACTGAAGTTTTCAAGGCATTTTTGTTGCACCTTATACAAATGTATACAGGATTACAACTTTTAATTGTCCAATGTAGGTATTTTTCTTATTTTAATAGATACAGAAATGGTTAAATGAACAAAATGGTGCAAAATTTTATGCCGATCATGGATTCGTTTGTAAATTTACAAAATTCCGAATAGTTCCGAAGATATTCGAAGGAAATCGATTATATGCTATTTCTTTTCACTTGTTTCTCAAAATTTTAGGACAAAAAAGTGTAGTCTGATATTAAATGATGTGAGGAAGCGATATTTGCTGTCAGTATTAACGTGTCTCTAAAAATGTGTTGAGAGGTAGTAAATTTTCGTTTTTGTTATGGACGCCATATTGAATTTTTGTCTTATTAGAAGAAAAGGGAAATTCTCTATATAACGATGTATAATTTAGGGGGTTTTCATAAATAAATAACCACGATATTGATTATAATTTTAATTTTAATAAANTCTTCTAATGAGGCAAAAATTCAATATGGCGTTCATAACAAAAACAAAAGTTAACTACCATTCAGCACACATTTTTATGGATAGGTACGTCAATACTGAGAGTAAAAATTAAAGAAAGTAAATAATATCAGACTACACTTTTGTCCTAAAATTTTGAAAATCAAATGAAAAACGACTAAAGTAAGAAATATAATAAAATCGGTTTCCTTCGAATATCTTCGGAACTATTCAGAATTTTCTAAATTTAAAATCGAATCCGCGATCGGCACAAAATGCTGCACATTTTTGCTCATATAAACTTTTCTTTACCTCTTAAAATAAGAATGATACCTGTATGGAATTAAAAAGTTGTAAATCCTGTATACATTATTGTACTTGATATACAAATATGTGCTAAGAGACTATCACGTGCTTGGTTACTAAAATTTGACCAAGTCATAACGAGTCATAATTATCATACATAAATAACGTATACAGGCTGTTACAAATTCGCTTCTCACTACAGGGATCTCGGAAACGGTAAGAGCTAAGAAGAACCTTAAACGGGGACAAAGTTGTGTAATCAGGGGACCAACATTATGCCTCTAAAAAATCAAGGCTAACATGATTAGTTTTCGAAATATTTGAGAAAACCCGAAATTTTGGAAATCCGTTTTTGTTTCATTTCAGCCTTATTTGAGGTGATATTGAAAAAAAAACACTTTCTCATGGCCACTTTTTGCCCTCTATCGAATGGCATAATCAATTTTTATATGTAACTTTTCGTCTCTCGAGGATCATCATCAACTTCATTTTTTTAAATAAGACCCTAGAAATTTTATTACATTTTTTGCAAGCCTTCATGACCCCCAATACTGTACTGCCTCAGCCCGAACCAGATTCAGACGTTTTGTCTCGAAAAATTCGTGTATTTGTTCCAAATTTATCTAAATTTTTTTATTTAGATTTATTTGTTTATTGAATTATCGTACACTGTAAGTGTCGTTAGATCCTGTGAAATCCATATAATTATTTAAACTATTACCACCACGTATTAAAATAAAACATTATTAGCGTTTTATTCCCGTGTCCATAGTTATTTCTAGGCTTCTCGGGTGCTCAAAATTCAAACAAACAGTTACATATATAATAAATTCTGATAATATTACGCTGATCTTCATTTTTAACCTTTGCCAAAACGAAAATGTTTTTGGACATTCACTGAAATTTTTTAAAGAATAATATTCAGTTTGCGTTTTGGTTGTTCATATGCATTTTTAAGAATTAATTTAATTTTAATAAAATTAAAATTGTAATAATGTTTTAATTTTGACGCAACAACTTATTGAGTTATATATGACCAAGTGATGGTAATAGTTAATAATAATAAATGTTTTATTGTAACGCGTGGTGGTAATAGTTTAAATAACTANTGGTTACTAAAATTTGACCAAGTCATAACGAGTCATAATTATCATACATAAATAACGTATACAGGCTGTTACAAATTCGCTTCTCACTACAGGGATCTCGGAAACGGTAAGAGCTACGAAGTAGTTTAAATGTGGGCAAAGTTGTGTAATCAGGGGACCAACATTAAGCCTCTAAAAAATCAAGGCTAACATGATTAGTTTTCGAAATCTTTGAGAAAATCCGAAATTTCAGCCTTATTTGAGGTGATATTGAAAAAAGAACACTTTTTCATGGCCACTTTTTGCCCTCTATCGAATGGCATAATCAATTTTTATTTGTAACGTTTCGTTTCTCGAGGACCATCATTAACTTCATTTTTTTAAATACGACTCTAGAAATTTTATTACATTTTTTGCAAACCTTCATGACCCCCAATACTGTACTGCCTCAGCCTGAACCAGATTCAGACGTTTTGTCTCGAAAAATTAATCTTCAGTGTATTTGTTCCAAATTTATCTAATTTTTTTATTTAGATTTCTTTGTTTATTGAATTATCGTACACTGTAAGTGTCGTTAGACCCTGTGAAATCCATCTAGTTATTTAAACTATTACCACCACGCGTTACAATAAAACATTTATTATTATTAACTATTACCATCACTTGGTCATACATAACTCAATAAGTTGTTGCGTCAAAATTAAAACATTATTACAATTTTAATTTTATTATGACAAATTAATTCTTAAAAATGCATATGAACAACCAAAACGCCAACTGAATATTATTCTTTAAAAAATTTCAGTAAATGTTCAAAAACATTTTCGTTTTGGCAAAGGTTGAAAATGAAGATCAGCGTAATATTATCGGAATTTATTATATCTGTAACCGCAACTGTGAAAGAGCATGTCAGATGTATTTGTATGAATATCCTGAAAAAAATAGATCGGAATTTGTTTGAATTTTGAGCACTCGAGAAGCCTAGAAATAACTATGGACACGGGAATAAAACTCTAATAATGTTTTATTTTAATGCGTGGTGGTAATAGTTTAAATAACTAGATGGATTTCACAGGGTCTAACGACACTTACAGTGTACGATAATTCAATAAACAAAGAAATCTAAATAAAAAATTTAGATAAATTTGGAACGAATACACTGAAGATGAATTTTTCGAGACAAAACGTCTGAATCTGGTTCGGGCTGAGGCAGTACAGTATTGGGGGTCATGAAGGCTTGCAAAAAATGTAATAAAATTTCTAGGGTCGTATTTAAAAAAATGAAGTTGATGATGGTCCTGGAGAGACGAAACGTTACATATAAAAATTGATTATGCCATTCGATAGAGGGCAAAAAGTGGCCATGAGAAAGTGTTCTTCTTTTTTCAATATCACCTCAAACAAGGCTGAAATGAAACAAAAACGGATTTCCAAAAGTTTGGATTTCCTCAAATATTTCGAAAACTAATCATGTTAGCCTTGATTTTTTAGAGGCATAATGTTGGTCCCCTGATTACACAACTTTGCCCCCATTTAAGCTACTTCGTACCTCTTACCGTTTCCGAGATCCCTGTAGTGGAAAGCGAATTTGTAACAGGCCTGTATACAGAGTGATTCCAAATAAAGGTCCAAAAATTGTCATTATGTTTTAATTTTATAATTTTTGTAAAATAATCTATTAATTTAAGACGATTAGATAGATTTTAGTGCTTGCAATTGTATAATCTTTTATGTTCAAATTCTGCATTTTGTAGGTACCCAAGTATAAGGGAAAGTAGAGCAAAACGGTAATTTTTAGTCACTTTGTTTCTATAGCAGTGTAGATTATTGCTTCAGAAGTATCAAATGGTGCTTAAAATACTTTTTATTAAGTTTACGACTCATCTGACACTGTAATATAGTTGCTTGCTTTTATACAATAAATAAAATCCCTGCAACTTGGAAACTATCAAAGTTAAAAAAATATGCAAATATGCCTTTTTATTGTTTATATATGCCACAATTAATATTTTTTATTCATTTTAACAGACAGGCATTTATAATCCTTGTGTCCATATTTCGCAAATAAAAATTAAATTCCTATTTACTTAATGGATGATCCACATTTTTATTTTCTTCATCGCCGTTTTTTTCTCTTCTAAAGCTACTGAAATTAGATTACACTTTATTATTTTGCCCAAATTTTCACTTAAGCATAAATAAGCATAAAAAAAACACTAGTGTTATTTTTATTAGAGCAAAACCTTAGTTTACCGCATTGCCCAGCTTTCCAATTTATCTTATCTAACTACAAAATAGGTAATTTTTCACTTTGCTCTTTCAGAGATAATTTTTTAGGTGCAATTTGTTAACAATAACAAATATTAATTTAAATATAATAAATAATTTTTGCGTTATGTAACCCAGTTAATATTGAGGTTTTGAAAGAGCATCACAGGAACTTCTGCTATTAATTGTCGTTATGGGTAAAATCATCCCAAACATTTTAATGCGTTTTAATTTCAGTCTCCCGGTATGAGAAAAATGTATTCCATTCCTATATTTTTTGTATTTAATATCTATAAATGTAAACATTTCGTCAGCATATCAGAAATATAAACAAAAATATTAACAATGGAATAGCTTACTACCACCCTTAAGTAATTTTCTCGTTGCACAAAAAAAGGTAACACGCTTCTCCGGTTTTTTTTACCCTCTACTCGAAAGAAGTAAAATTCCCATGGTAAGTCACACGCTCAGCACCCGTATCGTCACGTAACAATATACCCTTTACAAAAAAGCCGTTCTTCTACGTTGGACAAAGACGGCGCGCTACGGTATCACCAAAACCGACAAAGAAGGAGCCGCTGCATAGAATCTGCCCCACTCTCGAAGCCCTAACCAGGAAGATTCGTATAAAACTAAAAGAACATGTCAAGCTTATTCATTCTGAAATAAACTTTAACGGAGCGGTGTTACATTCATAGCATACAGTGTGTTTACGTTACGCGTTACGAGAAATGGCGCCAACTCCGTATACGGTTAACAGTGAGTACAGTGAGGAGCCAATCTCCAGGACTTATCAGTACAGGAAGGTCATGAAACCGATGCTCGAGCGGAAAAGGAGAGCAAGGATCAACAGGTGTCTGGACGAGCTCAAGGAGTTGATGGTCACAGCCTTGCAAAATGAAGGGGAGAACGTGTCAAAATTAGAAAAGGCAGACATCCTGGAACTGACAGTTCGTCATCTGCATAGTTTGAAACGTCAACACCAGTTAGTGCTACCTCCAGAACAGTCGTACGCGGATAGGTTTCGGGCTGGATTCACGCAGTGCGCTCAGGAAGTTACTCATTTCATCACCACCCCTACAGAGATAATTGACCCCGTAGCCGGAAGGAAGTTATTGCAACATCTCGGAGCGTGTGTGCGGCAACTAGACTGTGTTTCGCAGAATGTTTCAGTGCAGTATCCTCATCAAAGTATGTCACCCCCCGTGTCCCCCAGGTCGGAGGTCAAGGCGCCACCACCCTCGATGTGGAGGCCGTGGTGAAGGAAAGACGATTTTTAGTTTAGTTCTGTTTTGACTTTAATTCCAAATAAAGCTTTATCTAGTTTTAATGTTAGGGTAAATAGCATCGTTGTCTTCCAAATACATTTTGAACTTGTGTTATTTAGGTTATTCGCAATTAAGTTAGTTTTCACAGTATGTTATATATTACCTTTTGTATATTTGAAACAGTTGTAAATAAAACGTTTAGCTTTAATACTGTGATAGTAGTGTAGTTTTGAAAAATGAGGTTTTCTAATATTGGAATTTTAAGATTGTTGTATGTTTTGTACCTGAGAGATAAGTTTTAAAAAGTTTTGTAATGATTTTTAAATAAAAGGTTTTTTCTGAATAAGTATTTATTGATTATTTATGTATGAAGTGTTATTTCCAAACATTTTAAATTTTACGAGGTTAAAAACGGGCAACTAATAGTATCTTAAAAATGATACATTACAGAAATTATTCCCTAATTTTATTTTTATAACATTTTGAGTATTTAAAATTATATTTGTCAGTTCGTAATCATAATAATTCAGATAGACATATCAGCTAAATCTTATTTTATTTAATTCAATTTGCAGTTATAATTCCAAAAACAGAAAAACAAAAAAGGGAAAACCAAGTCTAGATATGATAAAAATATTAGTGATACAATATTTATCTTATTAAATAATTTTATAAAAATGTTATTTCATCAAACTGATTAAAATATAATTCGGAGTAATTTTAAATAAACAATAGAAACTAATTTTAAAAAGATTACTTTTTTGGAGTACGTATTTATAAAATTCGTAATGTTATTCAGACAACTATCTCATCTCCTCAACAATTTGCCTATTTGAAGGAATTTAAAAAAGTATATATTTAGTACTTTTTAAAAAGTATTACATTATTTTGACAGGAATGAATTTGTATATACTTTAGTGGATAGAACCACCTGTTTTTAATTGAATTAATTTTTGATGCACAATTTTATGACTTAAAAATATATCGAATTATACAAGTATTGTTTAATTTTAGCAGATTTTCGCAGCAAAATTTGCAATTTTCTGTTTCTAATTTCAATACATAATGCCACTGGCACCGACTGTAGTTTTAGTTGCTTTATTCTGAAATTAGTCAGTATTATTTGAATTAACTGCTACAAGTAATAATAGTTAAATAAAAGCAGTTATACTTAGGTATCTTTTAGTTTTTTAATATATTATCAAATCAGCTAGACAATGGGATTTATTTAGCGATATGCATAACATAGTATAAAATAATTTTCCGGATATACTTTAGCAGAGCGAGACTTTCAAATCGTATTATAAAAATTCAAGATTTGACTTAAGAAATATTAATAAAGATACTACTTATAGATTACATCTAATGCTTATAATGATAATACTGGTTGCCTATATAATATTTAATATGCGTATGCAACTGTAAATACAAATGTGTATTTAACATTTTGATATTTTTTTACTGTATTCAACCATTGAAGATAGAATATATTATCAACTCAAATAAGTTTTGGTTCAAATCAGTTAAATATTAATAAAATCTACTGATAACTTGCAATGCAACTGAATATAGATATATTTTGTTTTACTTTTTATTAGGAGTTTAAATTTTATGTAGGTATACAGTTCATTGATATGTCTTACGATTATTTTTGTAGTACTATGTAAATTAGTGAATGATTTCAGGAAAACTTATTCTTATTAAATAATGTTTATTTGATATCGCTAAAAACATTATTTTAATAATAATGTTTCCAGGGATCATTTTAATTGTTGGTTGCCTAGTTACAGGAATTTGTAGTAATACTATTTCTCACTCAATAATACATTACGCGTATTTGGTATTGTATAATATCTTCAAGAAATCATGAAACTACACCCTCAGCTGTACATTTTTTAAATGAAGTAAAATTTAGGTCCACATTTTGTTTTATGCTGGATATTTTTGTTATTACTTTTAATAATGTCATAATTTATAGGCTATATAAAATATGTGTAGGTAGTTACTAAAACTAATATGATAGAAATAATAATCTGAAACTATAATAACTATATTATCTACTTCACATCTAATAGCAATATCCTAAAATAACTTGAAACATGCAGATATTTCCATTGTTCAGGTAAAAACATTTTCAATTTTAACAATTTAGCTGAAGAGAAATTTTACTCGTTTTTAATTTTGAGATTATCGACAAAAGAATAAAAATTTAGATTTTTCATTATTGTTAGTTGAAGTAAGAGGAGGATTTTTTTAAATTCAACTACTGTTAGGACACCTTTTTGTGGAGAATTTAAATTTATAGTCGTATTAGTTGTGTTTTTCATAAGGGCATCGTATTGAATTTCTACATTACTGAATAAGCATATTCCTCTGATTATGGTGTGCCATAATAGGATACGGATTACTTTTTTGTTATTATCGACATTTTAACGAAGAGTGCTTAAAAATAAAACGTCCAATTGTTATTCCAATCATATATCGCTCTTTTTCATATGAAAATTGCACTATATCTTTACCTTACATGACTGTTCTTGTTTTTCTTAAGATAACCGAAATTCCCATGGTCTAGTTCGAAGAAAAACGTTCTGAATAGGAACAAATTTATTGCTTCGCTTTCGTTCTTTTAATAAATGCATTTACCTCACATATACTTACAACTGTAATTTTTATTCTCTTGAGATAATTGTGTATATTGAAAACGATGTAACACGACATAAAATAGGAATATCGGAAAATGTGGCTTACTATATGCATATACATTCAAGGTATTCCAGAAAAATTGGGGCACCGACTCCTGACATCAAAATAGGAGATATATACCAGTTTACCTATATTCAATAGTCAATGCCCACTAAAGTCTGCTAAATCTGCTATCTGCTGAAGCCACATTGTTAAATGTCTAAAACTGTTTTAGCTAGTGATTATCTTATTCGGTAAAAGATTTTATTTATATAAGTGTAATATGTTTGTTGAACATACAGTATTTAGATTTTTTTTGGGCTTTCGTCCCTTTGACCGACTCAAAGCTTATTTATACATATGACTACAGGTGTCTAATTCACAAAATTATTTTCTAAAGAATTTTTGTCACTTGTACAGTAGGTATAGATTATAGTATGTTTGGCAATTTCATTTTATATTTGGAGTGTGCTTAAAAACTGTGTGTGCTGACTGTGCTTAAAAAGTAAGAAAATACATTTCAATTGTATGATAAACAATACAAAGGTTTGAAGAAACTGGAACCGTGAAAGGCAAGCCCCGATCAGGACGTCCAAGAACTGCAACTAATGTCAATAACGCTGTTGAAGTATTGCAGAGTTTTGTGGAAGATCCTCATACTACTGTGCGTAAAGCTGCCAGAGAATATGATGCAAGTAGATCATTTGTTTGCTGAATTTTAAAAACAAACTTTTATAAACCTTACAAAATACATTTACTGCAAGAGTTAAGTAAAGATGATTATGATCGAAGGCTTCATTTCTGTGAAACAATAATGGCAAAAGTTGACCAAGACCCTAACTTTATATTAAATACCTATTTTTCCTACGAATGTACTTTTACAGTTAATGGTTTAGTCAATCGTCACAATTTGAAAAAAATGGAGTGATCAAAATCCTCACTGGATGAGAGAAGAACACACCCAGAAGACTCAAAAAATAAATACGGGGGCTGGTATTATTGGTCCTACCATTATTGGTCCGTTCGTAATTGATTGCAACTTAAACGGACAAAAGTACGAACAGATGTTACGCGATCAAATTGTACCAGTTTTGCAAAACTTAGACAATAATTTTGACAGAATACGGTTCCAGCAGAACGGTACAACACCTCATCTTGCTATTGGAGTTCACCAATTCCTGGATCAAATAATGTTTCTGAGTAAATAGATTGGGAGAAGGCATGCGAATGGCCAACACGCGCTCCTGATATAACACCCCAAGATTACTTCTTTTGGGGGCAATTAAAAAATAATGTTTATAAAACAAAGCCATTAAATATAGACGACTTAAGGAACATAATATTTGAACTGAACAAATTACTAGAGAAACTTTATTAAACGTTGTGACGACGTTCTACTATTATAGGTTGGGATATTGCCAAATTGATGGTGGGAGACAACATTTATTAAAACAGATATTTTATTCAAAGTATAATCGCATAATTGTGTTATTTTTTAGTTTGTATTTTTTAATAAAGGATTTAAGAAAAAAAATAGCTGTAACTTCTTTGTGTTCTAAAATTTTCCAGAAAACTTTACATTACTGTAAAGAGAATGCAATTATCTTTCAAATGACGTATCACAGGTCATACAATTTAAAAAAAAATGGGAGAACCTTGTGGTGGGAGAGGGTAAATGTAATAATTTCATTGCTCGATTTTGTAATAAATAAGTTGGTCTAAATCATTAGTCTTAATAGTCCGTTATTATTAAACTCAACCTTCCTGAAACACCCTGTAATCACTTTTCACTGAAAGAATGTGAAAAAGCCTCCATTTTTATTTTTCATTGAGTGTATTTAAAACATGATGTGATTTATTAAAAAGTAGAGTTAATAATCACCGATGATTGTGGTAAATTTGAAGTGTTTACTTATTGAAAAATTGAATTGTAAAGACTTACTAGGATTGCAAACAAATTCCTTTTATACATATAAAAATACGATATTTATATTTGACACTGAAGCCCTTTTTTATTTTACAAAATTACTTTTGTAAGTACCTAGTGTTAACTAAATAAAATTCACTTAACATAACTTAAACTATATCGAGATCAAAAACCGACTTACAGAGTTTAAATACAACTCATCACACCTATATTACAATGTAAGTAAAAGGTTTTCATAGATCTACCTATCAACATTAAGTAAAATTTATGAATAAACTACGACCCAAAACTATATGAATAAAATTGATAGATTGGTTATCATTTCCCTATTTCTTTGTTAATTTTCCACCTCTACCACCTGCATTATATGTTTACCTTCAGTTGTTGATTGCATTGTTTCTTGATCGGTGTTGTAACTAGTACTCTTTTCAGTTGAAGGCGATGAAATTTGAAAATCTAAATTGTTGTGTATTGTATCACCCTTCGTCCCAAGCAAATCTGAGATTTTATCCAAAAGCCTAAGGAAATTATTAAAATTGTAATTATCCCCAATACCTGCTTTTTCGTGTACATAAGGTAATTTTCTCGAGGTGTCTAAAAGTTTCTCCATCATATATATTTTATTGCCATACGAGTATCCAGACTCTGGTGATGTAGTTGCTGAGAATGTGTTTATTGATGTAGTAAGGTCACTACTTTCCGCATCAGTACTTTTGGAAGTTAACTTTTGTGTTTCTTCGACAGTATTTTTTGGAAAAGTTGATGTAAACTTTAACGTTGTAGAAAAGTAACCATCATGACTTGTAAAGGTTTCTTTAGAAGATACATCTTTTTGCGTGTTTGCTTCCTCTGTGTTGGTATATACAGGAGTGGAATTTATTAAGAAAACCGCTGAGGAATAGGGAGTAGAATATTGGATAGTAGTTGCCATATTTTTTGTTCCTTCTGTTTCCTTCAATGATTTAAATATATTTTCCTTGGAATGCGGTTCCTTAGTAAATGAAATATCTTCATTTTCATTAATTATTTGATTTGTTTCAAAGTCTGTGGTCGACATTGTATGGGCACTACTTGCGATTGTGGTGAGTTTAACTGATGATTCAGTGGTAGAAATTTTGTCAGTATTACTTTTAACTATCGATTGCGTAGAATCACTAATATAATGCGTAGATTCTTTTATGGTAACATCATGAAACTCCTTATTCTCTAATTCCTCATATCCAGAAATAGATTTTAGTGAAGACCGAGGTACCTCTTTACTAAATGTAAAGTCATCATCTGTTACATTAGTTTCGGTTATAACTGAAGAAATTCCTGTTGTTGACCTTTTTTGTATCAAATTGTCGGATTGCAAATCACCATCACCACTAAAGGTCAGATCTTCGTCATCCGTAATGGGTCCTGATTTCATGTCGGTTACACTTTTTGAAGTTGATTTATAAGTTACATCAGTATCTGTAGTCGTCGGTTCTACAGACTTTGTTCCTGTCGTTTGTTTTGACGTAATTAAGGTTGTCGGTATTGTATTTGATATAACATCTGATGCAGATAAAGTGACTTTGTCAAATGGCTGAACTGTTGATGACTTTATATCAAGCGCGGCTTTTGATGTCAATTCATAAGTAGACTCAGGTTTAGTCATCGAAGAATCTGGCAGCGTCTCCTTAAGAGGTGCTGTTTGTTTTGATGTATCTTTAAAAGAATCTAAGATTTTCGTTGTAGTTTTTGCATCATTTATAACAGATGATTTAGATAGCAACTCGTTATTTATTGTACTTGGTTCAAAGTCACCGCTGAAGATAAGATCTTCATCATCACTGGTAATGTCTATCATACGAGACGTCGATTTTCTAAGTGTACTTGAAGATATATTTGTATAATCAAATGGGTTGTTAGTACTTATTATTTCAGTAACTTGCGTAGAATCTGAATATTTGGTAGATGTACTCTGTGAATTTGACATAATATTTGTTGTGCTTTTTGTTGTAATGTACTCTGGAGGTGAACTAGGGGTTTTCGCTGTAGTTGTTGAGTCTATCTTGTACGTTATTGAAATTGGAGATGTAGCACTTGATTCTGTAGTTTGTGATGTGAGTTTTGTTTTAGGCTTTGTCATGTCTCTGGGCGATGAAGAAGTTATGGAATTTAATGACGTTTCGAAAACTGCTGTAGTTCCAGGAGTTAAAATTCTAGAAGATTTGATTGTAACTGACTCAGTGGTTGGCTCTGTTGTTTCATATTTAGTTGTCGAAGTTGACAGTTGTGTCTTAGATGAGACCGATGTTGTTGGATAACCATTACCTGATGCTGAGCTCTCAGATAATTGTGTTGTTAAAGCAGGGCTTTCTGAGGCTTTTATAACAGTAGTTTTACTTTTTGTTGTATTTAATTCAGGTTTTTCAGATGCGAGTTCAGTAGTCTTAGCAAATTGTGTCGTTAAAACAGGGTTTTCCGAAGTTTTTGACATAACTGTAGTGTTACCTTTTGCTGTACTTAATTCAGGTATTTCAGATGTAGATTTAGTCGTTGTAGCATATTCAGTTGTTGAAAGTGTAAGTCCAGATTTTGTTGAAGAAATAGTGGATGCCTTCTCTGTGTTTTGACGAGTTGGCTGAGTGTTTGTTGTAGTGGAACTGACTTCTGGTTCATGAGTTACTACTTGCGTAGAAAAAACATCTGATGTCAAGTGTGCAACAGCTGTGGTTTCACTCCTTTCTGTTGTAGTATTATACGTTAGAGTTGGTTGTGTTGCTTTAGATGTTACAGCGTAAGAGGAAGTTGATTGAGTGGGAGTAACTGTAGTAGTAGAAGTTATTTCTCTTGTACTTGTTGAAAATTGTGTTGAAACCGTAGATGTAGATTGGGTGTCTTCAGTTTTTTCAGTAGTGGTGGGTTTTAACATGTGCTGTGTTGAAATTTCCTTTGGAGCCGTACTTTTTTCTTGTTGAAGAGTTGATGGTGAAGAAGACAAATATGATACAGTTGTGATCGTTGTTCCTTTCATAGTAGAAGATTTGGTACTAATCGATGTTGTTGGTTCTGTTGTTGTAGATGTTTTAGAGTAAGGAAAAATTGACGAGAAAAGATAATCTGCAGTAACCAAAGCTGTAGATGTAGTTATTTCTTTCACATCTGTTATTCTGCCTGCTGCTGTTGAAGATTCTGTTGAGATAGCTGATGTAGATTGACTGCTTTCCTTCTCCAATTTTATAGGGGTGTTCAGTGTATGTTCTGCTGACGTTTCTTTTGGAGTCCGATTTCCTTCTGCATGCGTTACATCTGAAGGCAAATATTTTGTTGTGATTTCAGTAGTGCTATGTGCTGTTGATGATGGTTGTGTCACTTTCGATGTGGTGGTATAAATTGTTGTGGTAAGATGATCTTTATCAGTTGTTGAAAATTCTATTGGAACTTTAGGTGTTGATGGAATATCTTGATTTTTTACCGTCGTAGTCGGTTCTAATATGCGCTGTGTTGATATTTCTTCTGGAATATTAGTAGTTACTTTTTGTTCAAGAGTTGACGGTGATGCAGTGGAAACAACTGAAGGCAAATATGTTACAGTTGTGGTTTCACTTCTTTTTGTAGTAGTAAATTTTGTACTATGTGATGTAGATGGTTGCGTGGCTTTAGATGTTGTAGTGTGACGGACAGTTGATGGAGAAGAATGATCTTCACCAGCAGTAGAAGTAAGTGTAACTGTTTCCTTTGTTGGCATTATTATTATGTCGATTGTTGTTGGAGAGCTTGTTGTAGCTATCGATGGTGTAGATTGTTTAATATCTTCATCTTTTACATCTGTAGTAGGTCTTAGCGTATGCTCTATTGGTTTCTCCGATATTTTTTTTGTGTCACCTTCAGTCGGTTTCGGAGTAGTTCTCCGCGTACTGTGAATACTTTGAGTAGTTACAATATTTGGTGTAGTTTGTGTGACTGGTTCGTCGGTAGGTATTTCGTTATTATCATCAGTTGTTTTTAAATCTATCGGTTGGCATATTCTGTGCTGAAAACATCGATTCTGGCAACATTTGAAAAACCTCGGACATTGATAGTCTACTTCGCATTCAAAGAATCTAGTTTCTGCTGTCGGATATGGACTGTCACAATTAAATTCTCCTCTAATGCATTTTCCAGGTCTGTCTGAAAAATAGATATTATTATTACTGATATAAACATAAAAAAAATATGACATAGTAATTGTTATAAGAAATTAATAACGAATCCAATACTGATGCATATGAAAAAAATTTGTTATTTCATAGCTATGCAATGCCATTATCGCTACTATACATATAGAAATTGTTTTCATTGCAAAGTAGATGTACACTGTTAAAAATGAATGAGTACAACATTGATGTACTGACAGACTATTTATCAAAACTAAAAGCATACAGTAAAAAAATTTATTGCATAAGCTCTTATGAAAGCCAATTTTTTAGACCAGAAATTATGAAAAAAAAAAATTCTACGGGAAACATTTACAAACCCCTGCATTTTATGTAAGTTTATCATGATTACATTAAAAACGCTTATAACTTTTTCATTCACGACATAGCTTTGATCATATCGTATACCTATTTCATAAAATACTGTTTTTTTTTCAGAAACAAACTTTTCTAGTTTTGTTTTTCGTCATCAAATCACGAGTGAAATATCTATTTTTTTTATTCGTTTAAGAAGTTTAATCATAAGTATAACGTACATGAGTGGTTTTTACCTTTTGGAAATACATAATGGAGAAAAATATTTTGTTGAGACCATTGTCGTGACTGAAATTTGGCAATAATACGAGGTCTGTTCAGAAAATAACCGGACTTTTTGAATTACGCACTAATGCAGATATTTAGATATTTATCATATGCAGTTGGCAGCGTTGTATTGCGCAAAACCTCCTCTATAATCACGTATTCTTGGATTGTTGATATCTCATTCAGTTTTCGTGATATTCTTATTTGGATATTTAAGTGTTAGTGACGATTTTTGAAATGTGCAATGTACTGGAACAACGAATAACTTAAAATTTTGTGTGAAACTGGGAAAACTTTCATGGAAACTTTGCAACTTTTGAAACAAACTTACGGAAATGATGCTCCGGGTTGTACGCAATGGTTTTCACGATTTAAAAGTGGTCGTCAGTCAATTGAAGATGATCCTCGACTAAGAAAGCCTTCAATTCATAACTTCCACGTTGAGAAAGACAAAAATTCAATGCGTGGTACAAATCGCCGTTTGACTATCAGAGCTCGTATCTTACGAAAAGTCATATTTACTTTAATATCTAAAAATTAAATTCAGTTTCCTAGAATTAGATGATATTTTGTTGCTGCATGTAGTTTTATTAGCCATAAAAAACTTAACAACAGACTTAAGTATTATAATAATTATCGATACAGTTAGTATTTAATTGGTTCTAACGCAATTATTGAAATACTCATTATTGTAGGATAGTAGAAATCTGATCCAGAATTGTAATTCCTATTTAGTACAGACAAAATTTCAATAATACGTAAGTATCGTTTTCGGTTTAAAATCGATGTAAAAAATTGTGCACCCCAGACCATTAGCTTGCCAATCTTGACTAGATTTTACATTCAAAAATAAGAGAGAAAAAATTCTAATAACTAAAGTCCGAAAAGAAGCTATTGATTTATTTTATTTACATTTAAGGTATAGCACGTCGGAAATTTAATTGGTTAAAAAAGTTACAAAAAAGTTTAGAAATGTGTGAATACTACAGAAAAGACATACCGGAAGTAAATATAAACTAAAAATAAGCAGAAAAAAACAGCGATTAATGAATCTTAAATAAGTACCTATACACTTAACTTGTCGAAATGATTAAGAAAATAAATCGATATGAGTAAAGTATCATTACATAATGTTTGAAGTGTATTATCATAAGGAGCAATTTGAACAAATTAGTGAAGTTTAAACCTAAGTAAAATAAATTTCTTGAACTTTTTCAGTCATATACTGGCATATTGAATCAACATTGTCATTTAAAATTGTATACAGAAAATTTATGTAACTGATTGTCCATCGACTTGATAATTATTTTTTAATTTATAGTGTTCGATGAAGTAATGAGTTTAAGAATATGATTTTGAAACGATATGGTAACCACGGAAATAAATACTCACTAGTTTGTTTATTACCTAAAGATTATAGACCAGTGTTTAAGCCTTCAAAAATGGTAAAAAGTGAAAAAAAATTATAGTAGGATGAAACCCATTGGAAAAGGAAGATAATATAACAGAAATGAAAAGAAAAATAATTTACGGGCGATCTGAGGTCGGGAAGGGGAAGGGGGTGAGTTTTTAAGGGTAAAAAACGGTTTATCTTGATTTCCGGAAAAACTACAAGTCTTATGGAAAAAAGTTAAATGGCAAAGTTGTAGGTAATAAAAAGATCTACAACTTTTGTATTTACACTTTTTTCACATAACCTCAAAATNTATAGCATTACCACGAAAATTACCTGGCCGCCATCTTAACTACCGAATTTTACAAAGTATCATCCCAAACATTGATCCCGGCTTTATGTTGGATTGACATTTGTATGATACTTTTACTCCTTACAAGTAAAACCCGACGGCGCCGAGAATTTGCTGCTTGGAATTTAGAATAACTTGAAAGGGATTCTAATCTTGCGAAAAAAATTATCTGATGAAGCCCATTTTTGGTTAAGTGAACATGTTAACAAACAAAACTGCCATTTTTTGTGTGAAAACAATTCGCAATAGAACCACGAGAAGCCTTTGTATCCGCTAAAGGTAACTGTATAGTGTGGTTTATGGCATGGTGACATTATCGGACCATTTTTTTCCGAAATGAGGTAGGAGATGCAGTTACAGTGAATGGTGAACGAAACCGACAAATGTCAAGAAATTTTTTGTGGCCAAATTTAGATGCATTCGATTTGGAGGATATGTGGTTCCAGCAAGACGGTGCTATATGTCACACTGCTCATGAAACTGTCGACGTATTGCAAGAAAAGTTTGACGATAATTTCAAGGAATGGAACTGTTTACTGGCCTCCAAGAAGCTGTGATTTAACTCCTTTAGATACCTTCTTTTGGGGCTATTTGAAATCTAAAGTTTATGCAAACAGACCACAAACACTTGATGCATTAAGATTAAACATTGAACGCTAGCCAGATCACGCCCGATTTATTGCAGTCATCGAAAATTGGGTTCGTTGAATTCGCTTGTGTAGACGAAGTTGAGGAGGACATTTAAAGTATGGGTTATTCGAAACATAAGTGTTATTGACTGTAGGTACTTTAAGATAATATAAAAAGTTTGGTTGTATCTGAAATAATTTTATTTCATTTTAAAATCATATCGTTCTCATTGAAAAACCCTTTATATTAACGAATTTGATTTCGAATTTTTCAATTCAACGTACGTGTTATATGAGAAGTTCCAAAACATACTTGAAAACTGAAGATTACTATTCCCCATACGTATTATGAGACCTAAATTACGGTAATTCTTCCTAGCTTCTGTAAATGAAAAGGTTAATTTAATGTCTAAATAGTACATCCAGATATTTTACTGAACTGACCTTGTTAAACTTCATCCTGTAATAAAATATGAAAACTCTTATACGCCATTTATAGATAACCTAGAGAGAATAAAACTCTGATATTTATCTATACTTAAAACCAGTTTATTCTTTACACCATAGCTTTACACAATAAGCCATTTAAAAAATTAATACAAACATATAAACTAGAAATATCACAACAAAACAACACGTTTTTATAACGTCAACATAAAGATACTATTTAGGGTACATTTAATATCACATATAAATTATATTAAGCCACGTTTAATATCACGTATAATCGTATATACAGGCTGTTTCTCACTACAGGGATCTCGGAAACGGTAAGAGCTACGAAGTAGTTTAAATGGGGGCAAAGTTGCGTAATCAGGGGACCAACATTTTGTCTCTAAAAAATCAAGGCTAACATGATTAGTTTTCGAAATATTTGAAAAATACCGAAATTTTGGAAATCGGTTTTTGTTTAATTTGAGCCTTATTTGAGGTGATATTGAAAAAGAAGAATCATCAATGATTAGTATTCGAAATATTTGAAAAATACCGAAATTTTGGAAATCGGTTTTTGTTTAATTTCAGCCTTATTTGAGGTGATATTGAAAAAGAAGAACACTTTCTCAAGGCCACTTTTTGCCCTCTATCGAATGGCATAGTCAATTTTTATATGTAACGTTTCGTCTCTCCAGAATCAACTTCTTTTTTTAAATAGGACCCTGGAAATTTTTTTACATTTTTTGCAAGCCTTCCCCAATACGTACTGCCTCAGCCCGAACGAGATTCAGACGTTTTGTCTCGAAAAATTCATCTACAGTGGATTCGTTCCAAATTTATCCAAATTTTGTATTTAGATTTTTTTGTTTATTGAATTATCGTTATTTCATTATCTAGTTATTTAAACTATTACCACCACGCATTAAAATAAAACATTATTAGAGTTTTATTCCCGTGTCCATAGTTATTTCTAGGCTTCTCGAGTGCTCAAAATTCAAACAAATTCCGATCTATTTTTTTTTCAGGATATTCATACAAATACATCTGAAATGCTCTTTCACAGTTGCGGTTACAGATATAATAAATTCCGATAATATTACGCTGATCTTCATTTTTAACCTTTGCCAAAACGAAAATGTTTTTGAACATTTACTGAAATTTTTTAAAGAATAATATTCAGTTGGCGTTTTGGTTGATCATATGTATTTTTAAGAATTAATTTGTCATAATAAAATTAAAATTGTAATAATGTTTTAATTTGACGCAACAACTTATTGAGTTATGTATGTGATGGTAATAGTTAATAATAATGTTTTATCGTAACGCGTGGTGGTAATAGTTTAAATAACTAGATGGATTTCACAGGGTCTAACGATATTTACAGTGTACGATGATTCAATAAACAAATAAATCTAAATAAAAAATTTAAATAAATTTGGAACGAATACACTGAAGATGAATTTTTCGGGACAAAACGTCTCAATCTGGTTCGAGCTGAGGCAGTACAGTATTGAGGGTCATGAAGGCTAGCAAAAAATGTAATAAAATTTCTAGGGTCGTATTTAAAAAATTGAAGTTGATGA